GTTTCCTGGCTAGAAAGAGGAACTTCCTTGGTCAGCAGGAAACCACTGCTAGAGAGGGTTGACTAACAGGAGAGGGAAATTTGCAAACTGAAATCCAGGTCATGTGGTACTCACTGTTACTCAGAGTGTCAGCCCAGCAAGTGGTAACAAGCATAAAGGCAGGTGACCACATCACAAGGAGACTGGAACACTGATGTTGGTATGCCAACTCAGGATGTTGAGGAAGGATATGGAACAAAGCTCAGCTCAGCCCCTAGAACAAGCCAGAAACCTCCTGGGAGAGCACAAGCTATCCAGTCTCTTGGATCCTTGGAAGCTTTGCCCGCAGGCTCCATGTGAAGGCCCCAGACAGGCAAGCTCTTTTATCAGCTTGCAAACACCTGTTTTATTCATTCTTGTACTCAGTCAGCCAGTGTTTATTGGACACCTATTGTGCACTGGGGTCCTGTTGTAAAAGGTGTGATTACAACTGCAGTAAACATTATAAAAGAGATGTACGAAGTGCTATAAGGGCCTGTAATCAGGATATATAAGACAGAGGAACAACTATGTCAGGACCTGTGATCAAGATAAATGATAAACCTGGTAAAATCAAGGAAATACTGATAATTAAGTCGGGATCCAAAGAATGAACAGACTTGAACTAGGGAAAGGAATAGAAGCAGTAGCTTAGGCATGGGGTAGTCTGTAAAGACTGGCACAGAACAGTGAAGAATCTGTGTATGAGTCAGGTTTTGCTGTGTAATAAGTTGTTCTGAAACTCAGTATTGTAAAAACAACAGACATGCATCCTCAGTGCTGAGTCAGAAATCTGGCTAGACTCAACCAGGTGCTTATAACTAACCAAACCAGACTATGAGTGATATTAGCTAGGGCTCCTGAGAGTTTAACTTGTGCCCTTAAACTCTCTGGCAAGTCGCCCTGGAGTTTACCTCACACAGTAGTGAGGCAGCCTCTCTCATACCCCTGCATTGTTCTTTTCATTCTGTTGACCAAAGCAAGGTGCTTGGCTAAGCCCGAAGTGGGTGTGAGTAGACGTGGCTCATTCCTGGGGTAAAGGGAGACATGATTAAATGAAGTGCTGTGTCTGCAGAAGTCTACCCCAGTGTGTTCAAGGACTAAAATAAATATGGAGACTAGAGAGCCAAGCCAGAGAAAGGCAGAGGCTGTTATGTGCAGAGCTACAGAGAACAGTGTGAGAATCTGGTCTCATCCTAAAACAGAAGATTTTCTTGTTTCAGTATAATTTGATTATCAAAAAAAAAAAAAACAAAAACAAAAAACAAAAAACAAATTCTATTTCAGAGCTGGGGGTGTAGCTGAGTTAGTAGTATGTTTGCCCAACCGGCATGAACACCAGCACCCCATAATACCATGTGTGGTAGGTAGCACAAGTCCATAATCCCACTCACTACTCAGGAAGTGGAAAATCAGAAATCAAAGTCATCTTTAGTGAGCTATTGACTTTGAGGCCAGCCTGGACTGCATGAGATTGGGGCAGGGGTGGGGGAGAGGACTCCATTAACCATCGCTGGTGACGTGGCAAAGTTTCCAGGTTTGAGAAGTTGAGTGTCAGGGCTAGTCCAGCCTACCCATCCCCAATGTGCCTATCCCAGCACAAAATCTTGGGCCTCCCATAGACATTGTGACACATGCTTCTCCCCAAGCTGGGGCAGACTTCTCATTCTTCTTGAAAGGCCGATTCTTCCCTAAGACCCAGTTCAGATGCCACTACCCTAAAATGGCCCTGGCTTGTCTAATCTCCAAGAAAAGGGCACAGAGACTCAGATCTTGAAGCTGAAGGGTGAGCCTATGGTCATCACAATAGATGAGATGAGATGTCTAACGCCAAGTGTATATGTGACTCAGCTCTCTGTGCGTCAACCTATGGGTTGCATTTACTGTGGCCACATTTTCAGTTGTTTGCCTTCACTAGGCAGTGTTTCTGGAAAGAATGCCCACATGCCTAGAGCCTACATGTAAAAGGGTCAACATGCATGAATATATTGAATACATCTATAAGTGAATTATCCCATCAGCAAAGAGCTTTCTCTCCAAAGCCCCAGGCATAGATAGGAATGGCGGAGCTTCCTTCCAAATGAAGGAATCTCTTGTATCTCCCAATTCTAACAGAAAGCCACTCACTGAAGGAGAGGGAAAGTGGGCTCCAGTTGGTCATAGGGGAGTTGTCTGGGGAACCTGACAAAGATACCTTGGTCTTTAGAGTGTTTGCTGTGAACCACAGAGTTCAATTCTCAGAACTCACATTTTAAAAAGTCAGGCAGGGTATTGTGTGCTTGTAATCCCAGCCCTGGAGCTTGCTGGTCAGCCAGCCTAGCCTAATCAGCAAGCTCCAGATTCCAGAAAACCTGTATCAGAAAACATGGAGTGGCTCCTTAGCAACCTCTGACCTTCACACTCAAGTGCACACATGTAACACATGCCCTGGGCTGCTTTATCAGAAGAAGGACCATCCAGAAATGGTCCTGACTAAAGCCAACCAGTGGCCACAAATGATGTTGTGCCATGAAGTCAATTGACCTCTTAATGTCCTTTTCACAGCCTGGCTCTAACTCTTATAAACCAGAAAGCTGTGACAAGCCCAGGCCCAGGTGGCCCAACATCCTGGCAGACTTTTTCAGACTACTTTGTGGTACTGATCATGTTGTCTCCTCTTCTACAGAAGAGGAACCTGAGTCCCTATCTACCCTGGATTCATCAGCCACCTTCACAGTACAAGTCTCTGAGATGAAAGACCCGGCTCTCCTTGCACTTAGCTATGTTCACATGATCAGGAACAGAAAGGAGGGCTGTAACTTTGGGACTGCACTCATGCACGTAGAGGTGTGTCTCTGCCTTCCTTTCCCATTTTTTTCCCCTTGAAGCTTGGGAAGTCATTAGACCATTAGGAAGATGGAGCTTGGCAACAAAGTTAGAGCCATGGCCCATGGTATCTGGGCACATGACCTGAGACACCATTCAGACCTTCCTGATACTGAGTGATCCTGGAAGAAAATAAGCTACCTCTTCACCTCACACACATTATGGTGGTTGCCACTGCAAGGGAAGAGGAGAGAAAGAGTTGAAAAGGATGTGGAGTCATGGAAAGCTTGTGTGATCTAGCAATATGAAGTAGTACAAGACTGGAGAAATGGCTTAGTTGGTAAACTGTCTGCTACACAAGCATGAGGACCTGAGCTAAAATCCCAGCTCCCATGTAACAAGCTGGGTGCAGCTGCACACACAACACCTGTAACCCCAGTGCTGTGGGCAGAGGAGAAAGGGGGTTTGATGTGGTTTGCTGGCTGCCAGCCACAAACTCCTGGTTCAGGGAAAAACACTGCCTCAAAGATATAAGGTAGGGTGACACAGGATACCTGGCACCTTCCTCTGGTTTCCTTGTACACATGCACACAGATACACAACCCACAAACAGAAATTCATGTGTGTGCACATACATACACACACACACACACAATAATAATAATATGTGACCACTATAGAAAACAGATCTTATGAGAATTAAAAATAATTGCCAAAGGATCCATCAGTTACATGTCTAAGTATATTCTCTGTTCATAACATTATTCACAGCAGTTGAAACATGCCTGAGACACAAGGTCCACTGAAGGATTAACAGATAAACAAAATGTGGGATGTTCTGGCCTTAAAAAGGAAGGATGGGCTGATGTACATACAAGGTGATGAACCTTAACGGCATTATGCTCGGGTAAGTAAGCCAGCCACCAAAAGATAAATGTTGCATGATTCCATTTATATGTGGTACTCACAGTAGTCAGACACATACAGACAGAAAGTGGGATGGTTGCTAGGAGCTGTGGGAGAGAAAGGAATGAGTTGTTTTGAAGGAACAGACTTTGAGTTTTGCAAGATGAAAAGTTATGGAGGAGGCTGGTGGTAATGCTTGCACACTATAGAAGTATTTAATGAGATGTGCACTTAAAATCTGTGAAGATGGAGATTGGAGAGATGGCTCCGTGGTTAAAAGCATGATCTTCCAGAAGACTGTGGTTTAATTCCCAGCATACACTCCAGTTCCAGGGGATCCAATGACCTCTTCTGTCCTCCACAGGTACCAGGCATGCACACAGTACATAGACAGTACATGCAGTCAAAACCCCATAGGCATAAAGTAATAATGACTGGAGCTCAACATTTATGTTATGTAGCTAGGAGCTTAGAGATAGCAGCAGCCTGGGGATCATAGTCTTCTGGGAGAAGGAGTTTGCTCCTGGGCCACCTGATCTAACCAGGCAGATGGGTCTTTTCCATTTGGTTCTTAAATCATGGTAAACCATACCATTTTTATTTCCTCTTAAATTCCATGTTATGTATGTTTATTGGGGTGAGGACTGAGGATCTCTTTAGAGGAGCTTGCTAGATTGCCCAGGAAAGATGGAGAGTGAGCACAGAAGATGTCCCACCATGTGCACACTGGGAAACTTGGCAAGCTGCTCAGACACTGACCTGTTCCTAGCCCCTGAACTTCTCCCTAGTTTCCCTGGCCCAGACCCCTAACTGAAGGAAGTCAGAGGGTGGACATCTCAGAAATGCATTCTTACCTCATGCCACTGTGAACCCCAAAGCTATTGTTCTTGTTAAATACTTTGAGCACCTTGGCCAGAGGATGTCACCCATCTTGGCAGATAAGAAGGGAATAAAATTGAAAGCCCCAAGCCAGCATGGAGGGTGGCAAGAGGTCTGAAAGGTGGGGGCCCCAAGAAGGAGTAGAAAAAGAGAGTTGGGGGCTCCTTGGTGAAGCGGGAGGGAGAATTGGGGATTCATATGATCATTATAGATGGATTGTATGTATACAATCATCGAATAATTTAAAAATAATAATAACCTAGTTTTTAAAAAAGTTCCAAATGGCAGGTTTGTCATTTAATTCTTACTTTTTTCTCTCCATCTCATCTCCAAAGCCAGGTATATCCAGAGCATTGTTTAATATTCAGAAAACACCTCAAATTACACTCAGACAGTACTGCACACTTTTATTTACAGAAAACACAAATAAAGCATTTCAATTTTCATTTAGCAAACTGATCCACATTTTTTTTGTCTTTTTTTTTTTTTTGGCACAAAGAAATATCACAGAGGAACCCCAAGATCAATCAGAAATTTCTAAGATTCATTAGCCATTACTGGTCCAGGGGTAGCCACAAGACTCAGACAGACAAGCTTGTCATAAACCAGATAGAAAGGAAGTAGTCCCCATCCACCTCACAGTAAAACCCTGCTCACCACCAGGCAAAGATGTGCAGGAGGACTGGTGCCCTGCTCCAAGGGAATGGGAATCTCCGGCAGGAAGCAGAGATGGGGGAAGAGTAATCTCTTTTCCTAAACCGGGGAGAGGTGGTCCCTTTGTGTCCATCCTCTTACCTTGAGAAGACCGAGAAGTTGTGTGCTGGGGCGCCTCTCCTCGTGTGCTGTGTGCGCATGTGAATGTGTGAGTGGGTGCCTGTAAACATCGTACCCATCCACATAGAGACCCAACACCCTTGTGTCTGAATGGGGTGGGGGGCGTACCCCACATCACATGCCCTCTGTCCCAGTGATTCCCTTCCGAGACATAGTGCAAATATCAGGGGCAAAAAGAGGCAGGAGAAAGTGGAGAGGACAGGAGGTGAAAAAGACTCGCAGACTGGGATGGGCAGGGGTGGGAAGGACACACAGGGTGGGAAAGGCAGGAGGAAAAGGAGTGGGCAAGAGTGAGAAGAACACACGAACAGGGTGGAAGAGGGAGGAGGGAGATAAGGCAACAGTTAAAAAACCGTCCATAGTAGGTCCACATCAGCAAAACCAGCGCCACCTGCCTCCCACCCCCACCACACCCGGGTCACAAGAATGGTCGAAAGTCACGCTCTTCCACCAGGCTGATGGCCGGGTTCTTCAGCTCCTCCTCCGAGTTGGCCATCTTGTAGCCCAGCTGGGCCAGCACCTGCTGGCAGGCATTCTGGGCGAAAGCCACGATGTCATAGGAGAGGCGGAAACGCCACTTCTCAGCTGTGGCTGCAGAGTTGCGCACTGTGCCGTACTTGTGCTTGCCCAAAGTGGGGTCGCCCCGAGTATTGTTCTGGATCCAGCGTGCCACGTGACCATCCAGGGGAATACCCAGGAATTCGTAGATCTCCTCTGTCTTCTTCATGGGGTTTCTGGCCAGATCCTCATAGCGCACCAGCATGTACTTGCCCTTGAGCCAGGAGGGCCGCATCAGGCCAGTGGACACGGAGCTGGAGAAATCCTCGCACACTGTGGTCAGCTGCGTCACGTCCAGGTTGTAGGGTTTCCTCCCTGTGCCATACCAAAGCCGCCAGAGTCGGTAGGTGTCCCGGAACGTCTCACTCCGGGAAGCCAAGATGCCACGAGGGTCTCGTACCAGCTGGATGACCTTGAGGTTCAACCTGGGGTCTTCTACCAGGGCTCGAAGGTCATTCACCTCAGGCACCCTCACAGTCTTGATGGCCACATGGCTGCGCTCACGACAAGCCTCAGCAGCCAAAGTCAGGTTCAGCAGGCCGCACTTGCGCACACAATCCCCTTCCTCCAAGACCTGATCAGGGGACCCTGGAGGGTCACACACTGGACGGGAGCAGAGGACCCTGCTGGCCCCCCGGCGAAAGACCCTGTCAGTGGTGTGGTTGACCGGAGGTGGCTTGATATAATTCTCTAGAAAGTAGAGGTCACAGTCATAAAGGCTCCTCAGCAGGTCCCGGCTAGCCCCTAGCATGACCCTACGATCTGCAGGGCTCTTGCCCAGGGTGAAGCGGGGAATGAGTGTGTTCTGGACATGGTAGAGAGGCTCGAACAGGTAGAAGACATCCATGTGCTGGTTGAAGAGCTGGCCCACAAAGGATGAGCCACTGCGTGTGGTGGCCAGGATGAGGACGTGGGTCTTCCTGGAGAGGTTATAGGAGAAGGTTGGGCCCTCCTCACACAGCCTCTCTGCCAGCCCAGTCTCTGTCAGCCCAGGGCAAGTATGGAAGGACTTGGCAGTGAATGTGCGGATGGCTGTGTATTGGATGGCAATTGAGGCCAGGGCAAGCAGGAGGACAGCCTTCCAGGAACATTGCATGGCTGGGCACCGTCATGGGGCTGCTGCTCCAAGGCACAGGGTCTGTGGACAAAGGACAGCCAAGGGTTAAGTACTTCTCACAGCCAAGAACCTCCATGGGATCCAGCAAAACACCCAGCTCCTGCCTGGAGCTAACACATCCCCTAGGACCCACAAAGCCTGCACTGGACTGCCATTTTCCTGGTATCTCCTGGGAGCTTCCTACAGCTAAATAGACAGATTCCCTGTGCCCCAAGAGCTGAGTAACTTGTGATTGCAGAGGCCTCCTAGAGTGAGCTCTGGTTTCCCTATACCAACTCACTTACTGTGCCAAAGCCTAACTCCCCCAACTCCCACACTTAGGGGGTGCCTCATGCTATACCCTGTCACTGCCTGTGACTTCTGCCGGCATCTCCTGGATTATGAACATCATCTTCTAATCACACAAACAATTGTCCTTAGAGGAAGGATACACATCAAATTCCTACCCCCAAACACAAGTCCTGGAGAGCAGGGACCCCTGTGCCCCATGAATTCTGAGTTGACAGCAGAAGCCAGCAAGGCCAGGATCTGCCCACAATGGGCCATGGCCCTTCTACTTGCAATGGGGGAATCCAGCTCCCTCCAAATGTGGACTTCTGGGCACCCATGGTGTTGTAAATCAACTGGCCTGGAGAAAGGGCAGGTCCCAGCGGCTGCTGGGATGTGTCTCTGCTCAGGACCCAAGGTTTGTTCCTGCTTGAGGCAGTGATACTCACTGCCCAGGGAAACAGTCCCTGGCTTCTCTAAGCCACACCTCCAGCCCTTTGGTCCACAAAACAGAGGATAGGGAGGGGGGTGGAACCACAGGAAAGTAGAAAAGGGAAGTGCATGCCATGGGCTTATAGTATGCCCCAAGCATCTGGCAAGGTGGCCCAGGGGATGCTGACTCAGCCACCAGGTCCTGTGAGATACCAGGGCTGTCCCCAGACCCAGTGCCCAGGAGCTGAACACTTACCAAAAAACGGACTGCTGCTGTACAGTGGAGACTCAGCTGCCAGTGTCTCAGATGGAGCCTGTCCAGGAAATCCAGTGATCCGCGCCTTAGCTCTGTGACCAGTGGCTGCAGAGACATCAGGCAGGATGGGCTTGGGCTCCAGTACTCACCTCTCTTTGCCCTTCTCTGTGCCCCACAGTCTGCTACCACGCCACAACAATGTGAGTTTGCCTGCTCCCTACATTGACTGCAGACTCAGTGTCCCAGCTGATCTAACACTACCCCTGAGCCATGAAGACCCAACTTTTAAGCTGCAATCTTTATTGCCCACCCATGCCCACCCCCAACAACCCTCTTCCCATACCAGGGCTCCTCTGGGCAGGAGCTGGCTAGCATACATCCACAAGTGCCTGATGAGACCTCAGGCCCAGAAGGGTTCTGTATTGGAAATGAAGGGAAACAATCCTGACCTTCCAGAATTCAACTGGTCCTGTGATGGAGGCGGATCACCCCAGGCCTTCAGGTCAAGAAGATGGCTCCAAAGGGACAGCTGGGGACAAGAGTCTTCTTCCAACCATATGCAGCACACACGGCAGCTACCTGAAAGCCAAAGGCACACTTTACCAAGCCCAAGCAAAACACCAAAGTCAGCATGGCTTTAGTTAGCACCTACTAAGTGTTGCACAGGCCAGCCCTTTCCCCAGGTGGCAGATTCACTCTGTAAGCAGATATCAGCCCACAGCACAGGCAGCAGTGCCTGCTGGGGCCTGTGGCTTATTTAACCCCCATCTGGAACCTATCTTTTTCTCCAAGACACAACCCTTTTCTTCATGCTTAATCATGCCTGGCCTTCAAATGTGCACCAGATTCACTGTCTCAGCCCATCCATGAATCAGTTTGAAAGGGGCCAGAATACAAGGGGGTGAATTCAGAAAATTGGAATGCGTGTTCTCCTTTGCCATTACGTCCATTATTAGTTAGCTCATGGCAGGTAGGTAACCTCGTACCCTTTGTGCACATCCCTCCCACAGTCTGCTGTGTCCTGCCTGACTCCTCTAGAGGGCAAGCAAACAGACACACCATTTTGGGTACTGTGTCTCGCTCCTCAGATGGGAAATTTAAAGACCACTGCATGGCTCACAAATGGGAAATAGCAGGGACCTGAGTCCCTCTGCATCAGAGTCTGGCCAGTGCTCTAATTCCTTCACCTTGGGCTCAGTGTCTCAAGAAAGAAAGCAGAGTTATGGACTCTGCTTGTCTAGGGAGAAGCACAAGGCCAAAATGGTCAAGAGGCTTGAGATCCAGGAGTCCCCATTAAAACCTGACACAGCACTACATGTAGGAATCAGTACTAGGTCACCACCGAGAGGCAGTTAATAGGGGAAGAGGCACAGTTCAGATTCTCGGGAACCTCTCAGTGTGTTCAAAGTCACAGTCTGGCCCACACTCAACCCAGCTCCTGTGGCAAAGGACACTGCCCCATGAAGGGAAGGCTGAGGGTAGTAGGGAGCCCTCTCGACTTTAATCCCAGGTCCCTGCTTTGCTTTTTGCCTTAGGGAAGCACCCTTCCAAGCAGAGAATGCCAGCAACAACAGAGTCCCCCCTCCTCAGTTGTGACTCCAGTGAACTCAACCATGTTTCTTCACAGCCATCTACCAGTGATCTAAACCAATAGGCACTGGCCAAAACTCACAGAAAGTCAGCACTCTCGGTCCTCTGTGTGAGTGCTCCACCCTCAGGCACATGCACCGAAACCCACCTCAACCTTAAGGCTATACCTCATAACTTCTAGCGCCTCACAACCCATCTGGCAGAACAAGAAACTCCTCAGGTTACAACAGTTTTTCCAAGTTCATGACCCAAGAAGAGGGCAAGGCCAAGACCCCAGCCCAGGTTAAGTGCTCTGAAAGCCATGATCAAATCCATCTGTTGGATCCACTCCAGGCCCACCTCTATTTCATCCCCTTTTCCTTGGCCCTTAGCACCTCCACCCTGCAATTCCAGCTCTAAAGATGGAATACACCCAGAGTTCTCTTCAGAGAATAGACTTGCATCTTGCCCAGGAGAAAACAGAGTTCAAGCTCTTTTCCCAATTTCTCTTCCCACCCCACTTGGAGAAACTCAAAGGCAGGTCTCAGAACCGAGATTGTGCTCGCAGACATAGTTCCCTAAGGTGAGGAGACTCCTCTCAAGATACAGCATGGGCACTGCCGGCACTGTGGATCCCAGCTGAGTACCATGTGCCTGCCTTCCAGGAGGGCAAAGTGAGAGCCTGAGAACAGGAAGGAGAATGTTAGGACCTGTTGAAAGTGCCTGGCTCTCCTGCCAGCCTGGCACAGTCAAGCCCAGAGCTAGCCAAGGGTCCTTGGTATGCCAGAGGCATTTGTCCTGGAAACCAGAGGCCCCAGGGCCAGGTCCTGTTGTTCCCAGGCAAGCACTGGTTTCTGCAAGAGATTTATCAATGTCCTGGACCTCTAAGCCAGACTTGGGGGCTCAAACTCTTTCTTGGATTTCCAGGAGCTTCTGGTTTGGCCTCTCTCACTGTTGGTTCAAACCTCGGACACAGGAATCCAGAATCCCACCTTCTTGTGAGAGAGCCTAATGACCATCCAGAAGAAGGCTCAGACTGCTACATCGCAGTCAGGTTGAAGCTAAGGGCTCAAGCCATCCACACCAGCCTGTCAGTCAGAGGGCACACACATCAGCTAAGCACCAGCTATGTCTGAATTCACTTTTCCAATATGTAAAGGTGGCCTAACCAGAGCAGTGATTGTAACTGACAAGAAATATTTATTCATGCCCTACAGTTTGACAAAATCCTGCCTTGCAATTGACAAGTGACCTCTGGCACGGGCCCCATGGATCCCAGCTCAACTGTTTACCTACCGGGAACCTCTCCTTGATTTCTGAAATAATTTTTGCTTTGCTTTTTGCCTTAGGCAAGCACCTCAGAACTAATTGCCTGTACCCCTAGAGTCTGATCCAACAGAGGCAGACCTCTGTGGGGCTTTACCCACTACTGCTTCTGAAACCACTTGCCCTGCCAGAATTTTCCGCTCCAGGCTGTTGCGATGGTATTTTTGCCTCCCTCTAGTGGCCAGAACGGGTAGTACAGACTTCTGGCTCAGTCTTTTTACTGTGTTCAGGATTCAGGCCTAATGGGATGCCAAACGATGCAGTGGTGGTTAGGAGGCAGGATGTTGCAGATTGCAGTAAAGTGTGATGAGATAGAGACCCTCTTCCTCGGCTTCAACCGGGAGGCAAGAAGCAATAGGCAGCCTGACTGTACACCTGGCCTTCCCCACTGCCCTGCCCCCATAGTTCCTAGGCTGGAGAAGCACCGTTGAACAGATCGTCACTAGTAGGAGTTGCCAGCAGCTTCTGACTCTCCCTAGATGAGTGACACTGGCCCATACCTCTTTGTACCAGGGGTTTTCTTCAGATCCTGAAACAAGGACCACTCTACCTTAGGAAGGGCCCACCCCATATTCATGGCCAGGTGAAGTCACATTCACATGGGACAGAGGGAAGCCCCCATGGACAGTAGGAACATTCAACTCACTCTCCAGAAGAAACCAGTGCTTGATGTCTCTGCCATCCTCCCCACCAACCACCAGCTGCCCTCATTCCCCATCCAACACTGTCCCCATAAGTTCAAGGAGCCAAGGGCTCTGCCCTTAGCCAAGTCCCTCTTCCTGCCCTGTGGGAATCCCAGCAAACCCCAGTGAAGCTATTTACCTTCCCTGCTCCATAAATGCCTTGGGAACACAGTCAGTCTTCCAAGAAAATGCCACCTGCACCCACTTTTACACAATTTGCAAGTGTTCAGAAACTCCTGAAGCCAGAGTGGACTACTGCCCTTCTCCACAGAAGCTGGCCTCCCTCCTTACTGACTGACACTTCCATCCGATGGTTGTCTTTCTGATGGAGACAGAGGGTTCTCACAGAAATGAGGGAGGGGGGAAAAGGAACATCAAAACACCTCTGTCCAATTGGGCCATTGGTTAAGTCACACTCCGTGAACCGCCCCTGAAGGAGAGGAATCAAGAAGCTATGGAGGAGTGGGTACTGTTTACAATGAGATTTGAGTTTATTATGTTTGGAGATGCTCATCCCCATGAAGAACTGGAGAGGTGTCTGAGGATGGGATTGGTAACTGAAAACCATCCTGACACCTCGCCCCAGGCTTAATGCTTCCTTCTTTGCCCTGGTCACACTATCAGCCTTCTCCCCAACTTTCAGCACACCTGCTTCAAGACTCCATTGTCGCACAGTCAAGCACAAACCCTGCACAGGTAGACATGGGGGATAATGGTTGGCTGTAGGCTGCTGAGGCCACACAGGACCTGTAGTAATCAGGGCCTTCAAGGGACTCAAAGAATACAGGGAGTGGCTAAACTTGGACAAGTGGCTTTTTCCCCAAAAACCACATGTATAACAGCCTGGGGAGCAGGGTACAGAGAGCAGGAGAAAATGAACTTGAATATCTGCTCGCTGAACAAAACCAGGACACAGGGACTCCAAGGCTTTGAGGTGCCACGCAGACATCCAAGCCCAAGCCAAGAACCAGGGACTTGGGCAGGGAAGAAGTTAGCTGGAAGGCAACTTCAGGAAACTGCATGTTTAAACCTGTTTAGCCAGTGCAGACCCACCATGGTTGTTTGTTTGGTTAAGGCTAAAAAAGAAAAATTGCCAAGGGATTTGTTTTTTCCTCCCAAGGAAAATGAGATGATGAAAATGAGGTAAAGAGGAAAAAAATAAAAGAGCAGGAAAGTCAGAAAGGAGCCATGTCCGTTTCAAATGCCAAGTAACTTGTGGGCTTATGAGGTAGAGCTCCCTGGCAGCCAATGGAAAAAGGGAAATAGCTCAGTTCCATGTTTCACAGGATCCATGAGATAAACATTAAAGCATGATATCACAAGACACCTGGCTAATAGAGGTTGGAATCACAAGATCTCCCCAAGAGGTCTCCAAAGCCACACACCACCATGAACCCAAGATCCAGCACCCAATAAAACCCAAGGACAACTTCCCAATGCCCCCATGTTCTGGGTCATCCTTCAGATTTATTAATCAGAATTAGCAGTATGGAGAACACAGAGTGACCTTGCGGGGATGATGACCAGAGACACTGGAAGCAAAGGGCTTCCCTTTGGTGCCATGCCTGTCCCCACTTTAACCTCAGTGAGGTCTGCAGGTCTTCCCTGCAGGGGCTGCATGACAGAGCAAGGTGTTTTGTGTCCAACCTCTGGAGTCCTGCAGATGCAGACCCTCCTTTGAGCACCCCCACCCCTTACAGGCAGGTCATTCTAGTGTCCATGAGTGCTGGTACTAAGGACACGAGGACACTCTTGGCTGTCTCAAGCTTCTGTGTAACGTTGCCATGGGCACTGGAGGAAAGACATGCAGAGGGAGGCTGGGTGGGAACCTCATTCCAGCTTTTGGGTGGCTCAGAACCTTTGAACCACATGCTCAACCCCTGCTGTCCTCTGTTGCTCTGTGGTGTGAAATGAGAGAAATAGAGGGATCACAGCCAGAGGCAGGAAGCCGGAAGCTGAGGATACAAACAGTTCAGTGTAGTGGGGGTTACAGACAAGACT